TTGTTTGTTATTAGTGTCTATCTGGGAAGTATGGTAGCGCATTTACATTGTCAGCCAGAAAAATTTAAAGGGTCACTTCCAGCTTCATTTATTGAACTAGAGTCAGCAAACCCACAGTTAATGTTAAAATGGCACCAGGAAAACATACATCCTAACAAAGTGGGTCTACAACTATGACTGTGTGTATACTTCATTTATTTCCCAAATCCTCCATGCCATCACACATCAGGGAAATCTGGTACCATTAAAGAGTCTGTGTCATGTTCATTTTCAGCCATTTCATGTTTAATCTTGGGGCCCTCTACATTAGCTTGACACCGATCATCACTCCAGATAGTCTGTAATTATTTCAGAATGATGACACCAGAGAGCCTCTTCCTAAAAATGAGAGGATAGTTTGTGCAGCAGCAGTCAGAACAAACAGGTACTGTGCTCTGGGGGAATCCAGCATTGATCAGTTGATCATTCACCACTGCCGGGTGCTTCACTGTCCGGCTCCTTGTAGGTTAGACCCGGTCAGGTAAAACAGCGAGTCCCTGTACAGGAACATTCCCAGACATGCAGTAACCTCTGGCCCTGGATTTTTCTCCACATCTTCTGGTCACAGTGCAGCAGCAGGGAGGAAAATATATCCACAAAACCAGGCGCAGTCGCAAAATTCTGCTTCTATAATGGCACCGGTGGATGTCTTTTTGTTAATATAAGCTTTATTGAAAATACACATAAACAAGGCAATGTAACATTTTGCCAATATGGTGGGGGCACCGGTGGATGTCAAACAAGCTCACATGAACTTGCAATGGCCTGGAGATTTTGACCATTCAAGGAATTCCTTAAACTATCACATAATACTTCATTTTGAGTGAGAGTTTGCAAGATGTGTATAATCTTCTTTGCTTCTGCATAAAATTACTGGAACATACATGCACCTCATTTTTTGATCTTTAGGTCACGTCTAAGATGATAATTCATCATTGTAGATAAGTCAGAAAACAAGGAAAAGTGCCATGGGCTTTTTAATATAAGCCTATGATAAGATTTGAGGCAAAGTATTAACATGTACCTATACCACAAAATTTAAAAATTCTATTGTTATATTTGAAATAAGCAAATCTAAGAGTTGTTACCAAAGCATTAACCACACAAAGTTTTACCCTCAAAAATGTGTACACTGAAAACTGACTGAAACTTCCCTGATATTACCCCATGGCACCTCATTCTGAGAAAAGATGTTGTCAATACTCAAATGATTAAGAAGGCAGAAAACTAGAACCCAAAGTAGGATCTGAATGCCACACTGCAAGCATCCAAGAGGTTTATTAGAAAAGCAACAATGATCTTCAGGAACATCTAGCTCCATCATGCTCCGAAACTGTTAGGATGCTCACACAGGACTAGGACCCAAAATGCAGACCAAGGCTAGAATGGAGCTCAAGTAACTTCTAATCCAATTCAAACCCAATCCCCTGATCCCATATTTTTCTAACTTATCCATTAATAACTCATGATTGATTGTGTCAAATGCTTTTTTGAGGTCAATAAATATTCCCATCGTATATTTACATTTTTGTGATACTTGTAAGCGCTCAGATTCTTTAGATAATGAACCCAACTTCAGTTTCACTGTTCAGCTTTGAAGATTATTCAGCATCGCATCTCAGCCTTTTGCTGTTTCAGAAATAAATCTCAGCAATTTTAAGCGGTGCTAGGGCAGTTTTTTCAACAGTCAGCATTCACACACATTTTTTGCAAGAAATGGCCGTGCAGCATTTCTTCCTTTGCTGATGTCACAGATGAGACTCCTATTTTTCTCAACTACTTCGCTCTTCAGATTTCCCTTGCAGCTTGAGGGGGATGAGTGTGGCTCCTGTCTTGCAGAACATCTTGCAGGCAGTGGCTCAGGGTGAGGTTGAGAGATGGAGGGTGTCAGATGGAGATGTCTGAATGAGTTTTGACTTGTTATGACCTGATTTTCATTGTTTGTTAATATTCCAACTATGTTCTTGAATAAAGGCTTTATGTCGTGGTCCCTAAAATGTCAGAAAATAGTGGCATTTGCCTTTCACTCGTTCCTAAAGTCCAAAGTGACATAAAATAGTGCTCAACAGACAGTCCAAAGTCGCAAGATGTTTAGGCTGCAGGAAAGCAGACAGTTTGTGCAGTTATAATTAGAACAAGTTGAATTTTTGCAAATAAAAATGAACTGAAAATAGTTTCTGCTTAAATTCCTGTCCACCAATCTATTAAATGTTTCAGCTCTAGTTGCAATCTTTAAAGCTAAACCATATCATTGGGTTAAATAGACCACTCCATCAGGCTAGTTAAGGATGTCTTTGGTTTGCTATTTAATCTCTGAGCTTTGTTCACTTTCCAGAATATTTCAGGACACTGAACTTCCTTGCAGTAATTAGAAAAAATATGTTAGAGATGAACTCATTAATACTTGTGTTCATGTGCCACATTTGGGCCCAGACAGAGGCAACGCAACACTTGGCCTTCATCACTTCTAGATTTTTTTATGTCAGCTTGTCTCTGCCCTTCGTTTGTTAGTTGGTCTTGTGCTCTCTTTTAATCAACTTGTTAAGCAAGTTGTGAAACTTGCTCTGAGCAAGTGCTACATATTAATAAGTAAATGAACTCACCAAAGGTTCTTCTGAAAGTGTCAAGAGATACTGTTGCTGTTTGCTTAGCAACCTTTGGTCTCTGTATGCATTGCAGACTAGTTCTGTCTGAGGTGCTGTTTATTTTGATAATACTGTTTTAGGATGAACGCAACCTCACATTTAAGTATCTGTTACAACAGTTGCTAAAAGGTGATTAGCAAGGAAAATTGTAAAGTGTGTCAATTCACATTTCCTGTTCAATATGTAAATTTTGTTCTTGCTCTCCTTCACTTCATTTCACATTGACCCTCAGCCCTGTCTTTTCTGCAGCACAGGCAACGCACAGCTCCACGGAAGAAAACAAAGAGAAAAAGCCACATTAGACACCAGAGACTGACAGTGAACCCCAGTCATCATGACCCGCTGCAGAGTGAACCTCCGCACTGTGCTTTTCCTGGTGATCCTGCAGGGGGCAGCAGTGGTGCTGCTTTCTAGGTGGTATGTCCAGCTCAGTCCCTGCAGCTCTGCCCCCTCCAACAACAAAGTGCATGTCCTGCTGCTGTCGTCGTGGCGATCCGGCTCATCCTTCCTGGGTCAGGTGTTCAGTCAGCACCCATCTGTCTTCTATCTTATGGAACCCGCTTGGCACGTGTGGACCACACTGCATAAACCCAGTGCACGGGCACTTCAAATGGCTGTGAGAGATATGTTGCGGAGCATATTCCAGTGTGACTTCTCAGTGATGGAGGCCTACCTGCCAGACCACTACAATGCTTCCTCCTTGTTCATGTGGAGTTACAGTAGAGCACTGTGCTCACCACCAGCCTGTCCTCTCACACCACACAACCAGTTCAGCAACCAGACCTTGTGCTACAAGACATGTGATGCTAGGGGCCTGCAGGGGGTGGAGAAGGCCTGTGGCACTTACAGTCACGTGGTGATAAAAGAAGTGCGGCTTCTTGAGCTGGAGTCTCTCTATCCACTTTTGCAGGACCCAAGTCTAGATCTCCGCATCATCCATTTGGTCCGAGACCCGAGGGCTGTGATACAGTCTAGGGAGGAGGTATCCAAATCCTTAGCGTTTGATAATGCTGCCGTACTGGAGCAGAGGCGTGTATGGGCACCTGAGGTGCAGTATCAGGTCATGCAGGAGATCTGCCGTAGCCACGTGCGCATCAATGAGAGGGCCGTCCTGAAATCCCCTCCATTTCTGAAGGGTCGCTACAAAATGGTCCGCTATGAGGATATGGCACGCAGCCCACTTGAGGAAATAGTTGCCATGTATGAGTTTGTAGGACTGGAGATGACCGAACAGTTGGAGGAATGGATTTACACAGTGACCCATGGACAAGGCAAAGGCACCAAGAAAGAGGCCTTTGATGTCACCTCACGAGATGCTGTGACTGTCTCCCAGGCTTGGCGCACCATACTGCCATACAACAAGGTCAGACGCATTCAGGCAGTGTGTAAAGGGGCCATGTCCTTACTCGGGTACAGAACAGTTCACAGTGAGCAAGAACAGAAGAGACTTGACATAGATCTGCTGATACCACGGGAACCATATAGTTTCAGCTGGTTACCAGCAAAAACCGAGCATCCTAGTAACAGTTAAAACATGAATGATAAAGACATTATCACCAAGACACTACTATATGTTTCATTAGCTGAGGGAATACCAGCATGAGGTTAAAACATTGATTTGTGATAAACACAATGTCAGTCAAGAGAGAAGATCCATCCATCTATTATCTACACCACTTTTTCCTGAATAGGGTCACGGGGGGGGGGGGGGGGGGGCAGACGG